ATATATATATATATCCGAAATTCCGAGGATAATACTATATGTAAAACTTTGTGAAAAATTAAATAATAAAACAATCACAAAATAATAAAAGCGTGAGCCGTTTTTAAAGTAGATTTTTTTAAAGCGTTTTTTAAGTAGATTTTTAAATATAAACGTTTAAAGTTTGACTAATCGTAAACGTTGGTTAAAGTCATCAAGTGTCTGTGTGATAGTATATGTACAGTGACAATGTTTTGTTTAGTATCTAATACTATTGCACGCACGTGGACAGATGACTTTTTAATTAACCCATACGGTTAATAAAACTTTAAACGTTTATACTTAAAAAACTATTTCACGGAAAAAAATGGTTCACTTTTATTACTTAATTGTTCACAAAGTTTGACGCTGCAATAATATTACCCTCGAATTTCGGGATACCCTGTATATGTATATATGTATACTAGATGATTCGTATAAAATAACCGATGAAAAGGTAGTTTGTACTAATGTGTTTAGTACAAAGAGAAAACAATTATTATATAGGCGGAAACGTTGGGGACATTTCAAGATCAACTACATTTTAAAAAATGGAATTATATAAATTTTTTTACACAATATAATTCCTCTAATTCTAATTATTTTGCATAAAATATTAAGATAGAGATATCAAAAACTAATAGTTTACTAATTTTTTAATAATCGTATCTTAATATTTTTATAAACAAAATAATGAGACGAATCAATTCGTATAAAGAAAGCATATAGTTGCTATAAAAAAATGTGTGGGCAAAATGAATAATTTTTTAAATAAATAATTATATGTTTTCTTTACACCAATTGATTCATCTTGTTATCCTATTCAAAAGTATTAAGATACGATTATAAAAAAAAAATTAATAGTTTATGAGTTATTTAACATTTCATGTCAATCTGTACCAGAATAAAGTATAAATACGTATCTCATAAACTATTGATTTTTTTTATATTTCTATAATACCTTAATACTTTTATATGCAGAATAATTAGAGGAATCACATTGTGCACAAAAATTCATCTAATTCCATTTAAAAAATGGAATTGACCCTGAAATGTCATTATACGAGGTCTCTCTTTGTACTGAACACATTGGCATAAACTACTTTTTCATATACATATATCCGCTAATAATTAAAACGATCACTTTACAAGAATCATCCTGTATATAGTGTTAACGTAACCACCCTCGTACCTGGTTTATACTTCGGTCTTAACCTTAAAATCCTAAAATTCAGCTAATGGAATATAGATTTCAGTTAGAACTTTATTAAGACTGATAACACTATTGGCTGAATTTTAGGATTTTAGAATTAAGACCAAAGCACAAACATTAATCTTTATAGGATAAAGTCAAATTAAAAATATGTTCAGATAAAGATTATATAGTTGGAAGGAAGACAAATAATTTTTAATAAATGTACCTTAATACTTTCATGCATTAAATAATAAAATTAATTAATTGTTGTAAAGAAAATTTACGTTGTTTGCCAAAGAAAATATTATACGAGTATATAGTTTCATATAGGTGAATTGCATAATTTTTTTTAAAAACAATTTTGTATTTCTTTATTCTAATTGATTTATTTCATTATTCTACGCATAAAAGTATAAAGATATAATCACGGAGTAATAAGAAAATCAAACTCGAGGTCTGAAAATGGGCTTGAAACACGGTGTAGGATAACCCATGGAAAATTCGGAAGATGTGATTTTAATGCCATCATGCCTTACGGGAAAAGTTGGAAGTATTGACTGTTACGTGATCACAGGTCACACAATGAGCTACTTAAACTTGTCTTTTAAGCATACATGATTCAGAGTAGAAATTTAGAGGAAAATATTACGTGTATTGTCTATTTAGTGAAATGTTGTGTGAGAAATCTCAAAAGATTGGTCTAATTTTTGTGAAAAAGTGAACAAAAAGAAATATAGAAAATCGAGTAAGGATTTCTTTTTATTTATTGTATTTTAAACTTATTTTTTGGACATATATGTATATAAATTTCTTTTATATCGCTTTCTCATAATATTTTCATAGATATATAATTACATAATATTTCTTTTTACAAATATACATTTTTAAGTTAATTTAATATTTTTCCTAATTTTTCTATATTTTTTTCTTTATTTTTCAATCTATTTACAATTTATTTTTATTAATTTTTATTAATTTTCATAAAGTTTAAATTATTTTATTGCAATATTAGGTTTATTCGCGACGCATACTCTAATATGCTCTAATATGTTCCTACAATAGCACTTACTCACTTCAACGAATTCGTTGAAGATGCGAATAAATCTAGTGAGTTTTGCGAGGAATTTTGACAGAGTAAAAAAAGGATGAAAAGAGAAAGAAGTTTAGGTGATAACCGTGGCAACGCTAAGTAACTTACTTATTTCACGCATGCGCACTTCATTTTGGCCAATACTAACATCAAAGGTGCCAACTGAGAGTTGCACCGTATATACTGTGACCGTGTTTCAAGCCCACTTTTTTTCATGACCGGCCGCTTGAGTTTGATCTCCTTCTTATTACTCCGTATAATTAAAAGAATGAATAATTTACGAGATATTTTTTATTTCATGTCAAAATGTGTCTCAATTAAATAAAAAAATACCTCATAAACTATTGGTTTTTTGATAACTCCATCTTTATAAGCAAAATAATTAGAGGAATCACACATCTTATATAAAAAAAACATATAATTCCATTTAAAAAAATGACAATACAATCTCAACAATTGATTAAAGAGAGAAAAATCAATTTTATTATTACTTATCCTCCTTCAAAGATCATAGAACTCTCCACGTAAAAATAAAAAAATGTTCGGAATTTTTTTAATGATCATGAAAACGTGTTAGTGTAAGATTAATATTGTAAGATTAAAGATAAACAAGTATTGTATACGTAGGCTGCTGGAAAAGTTTCTGCAATCTATTACTTCCAGTGGCGCCAACGTTCTGCTACTATCATATCCGTAAATTTAGACGTTTTTAACCTACCTATAATTCAATTGACAGTTTGTACCCAAGCCAACTAGTTTTGTTTGTATAGTATTTTAAAAGAAGTTATTTTGTAAGAAAATGGAAATTTCGCGTGAAAATGTTCGGGCAATGATTTTTTACGATTACAAATGTAATCTAACTCCGAAACAATGCATCGGTCGATTTCATCGGTCAATAACGCCAGCTGTCACACAGCACGTCAAACCGTTGATTTTTTATCCAGTAATAATATCGAATTGATAACTCATTGTCCGTATTCACCTGATTTATCACCTAATGACTTCTTTTTGTTCCCAAACATTAAAAATAAGATGCGTGATGAGCGATTTGAGTCGCCTGAAGCAACTGTTGAAACATTTCGTACACTGATTTCTGAGGTTACAGCCTTAGAGTGGAAAAAATGCTTCGAAAATTGGTTCGAGCGTGTGCAAAAATGTACCAATCTTTCGAATACTTTGAAAAACAATAAAGCCATTTACCGAATTTTACATGTTTTTTTTCTCTTTGTTTGCGGAAACTTTTCCAGCAGCCTACATATCTTGCATCGAAGATATTGAAGTTTTAAGAAATTTGTGTTTTTTAACATTTATAACTAAAAAGATTACAAAATATACAAAATTTTTATAGACATAAATTTTTTGAAATTTTCTCGATTTTTAAACAAAAACTTTAGTTTTAATGAAACAAATTTAATAGTATGAAAAAAACAATGTTTTAGTTTTAATTTTCTGTCTGTGTACAGGGGGGGGGGGGGCATTACACCTTGTGTGTGATGGAGGGGCATGTCGCTGAGGAGTGCGATGCTTCCCCGTGTTGCCCCCTATCTGCAACGGGAGGGAAGGCGCCCGGGCAAATCACTGTCCGGCATCAGTGAGTTGCTAAAAATCTTCCCCCTTTGCCGCGAACCATTCATCGAGCCATTTTTTCATATCTTCGTACGAACCAAAGTGCTGCTCAGCAAGTGCGTGACCCATCGATGCAAATGATAATCGGAAGGAGCCAAGTCTGGTGAGTAAGCCGCATGGGAATGGAACTTCCCAACTGAGTGCTTCCAACGTGTCGCGAACCGGTTTTGCCGTATGTGATGGAGCATTGTCATGAAGAAAAATGACTTTGTGTTGTCTCTTTTTGTATTCTGGTCTTTTTTCAAGCAGCGAACGGTTCAAATCGATCAATTGTTGTTGGTAGCGTCCAGCATTAACCGTTTCACCAGGTTTTAACAGCTCATAATAGACCACACCCTTCTGGTCTCACGAAACACAGAGCATCGTCTTTCTGCCAAAGCGATTCGGTCTTGCGGTCGATGTGGATAGTGCGCCTGGGTCTACCCATGATTTTTTGCGCTTGGGATTCTCAAAATAAATCCACTTTTTATCCCCACTAACGATACGATGCAAAAACGACTTCCTTTTGTATCGTGCAAGCAAAATTTCACATGTGTTTTTGCGCCTCTCCATCTGCCTGCCGTCCAACTCATGCGGTACCCATCTTCCGGTCTTCTGAATCTTTCCCATCTCTCGTAGGCGATTGGAAACAGCTTGTTGACTAACGCTCAATTGCTCTGCGAGTTGTTTTTGTGTTTGTGAATCATCTTCGTCCAACAATGCTTGCAATTCCACATCTTCGTACCTTTTTGGCGGTTTTCCGTGTTCCTTGTCTGCAACATCGAAGTCACCACTTTTAAAACGCCGAAACCATCGTTCACACGTATCTTGCGATGGAGCATGTTCACCATAAGCTTCTCGAAGTAATCGGTATGATTCAGCAGCAGTTTTCTTCAAATGAAAACAAGAAATTAATGCTGTCCGCGAATGCTCTTTGTTTGGTATAAATTTCGACATATCGAACACAGCAACACAACACTATGCAAACACTTTTTCAATTTATCACTCGTGCGCGTCTGACACTTGTTGATGGCACTTCAAAATGGCATAACAGTCGAATCTTTATACCACACACTGCATTGATGCGCCATCTGTTTTCTCAAATCCACATTTCATACTTGTACACCTGGTATATACAATATTAACTTTCTTTCTGTGTAGAAATATTTTAACATCAACATATCACGATAATATTCCTAAGAAAAACTTGAAAATTTTCCATCGGGCAACTTTTTATTTAGGTACGTTTTTGTTAGCTTGGTGTGTTTACACTCATGTACACAGACAGAAAATTAAGCAAATAAATAAAAAATGGTATCTCTTTTAAAAATGTAAAGAAGTTCTTTCCAAATATGATATCATAAAAAAATTTTAGGATCGCAATGAAATCGACTTGTGAGATTCCATCGCAGTCCCAAAATTTCCTTTATGGTATTTTCTACATACAATATAAAAAGAGAATATCCTCTTTTAAAAATCTGAAACAATT